TTTTGAGGACATATTGCTAAGAGTTTTATTCTGGGAAGGCACACTGGAATAACCATGTTTTCAGGCTCCTCCTAAAGACTGCCAGTGTTGGGGCATATCTGATTTCCTTGGGAAGTAAGTTCCAGAGCCACCACCAAGAAGGCCCTCTCCCTCGTCCCCACTAATCGTGTCTGCGAAGCAGGTGGGAGTGCGAGCAGGGCCTCTCCAGATGATCGAAGAGATTGTGTGGGTTCGTACACTGAAATGCGGTCAATCTACCTCTAGGGTGTTTTCCTCTTTTCCAACTGACTTCCGCTTTGTTGTTGTTGCATGCCTTCAAGTTGTTTCTGACTTACAGCAACCCTAAGGTTAATCATGAGGTTTACTGAGGCTGAGTTTGTATCACTGACTCATGGTTACACACTGGGTTTCCATGCTGTGCAGGGAATTAAACCCTGGTCTCCCTAGGTGAGAACCACTGGTATAGATAATAGGAATGCACTAATGGACTTAAAAAACAAGTGCCAGCACCCTTATTGCCTCTAAATGATATAGCATTTTAATATCCATCCATGTTTTGAATAACAAATAACGTTCAATATGTTTCAAAGGCATGCATATATATATATATTCCACCCATCTTTTGTATATCCTTCATTTTATGTTACAATTATACTTTTTCTGACAAAAACCAGCAATAGGTATCAAGGTGTGACAATCTCACCCTGGATGAAGTGGAACACTGCTATGGCTGAAGTAGGTTCAGTGTCTAACAAAAGAAATTACCAAAACAGCATGCTTCCAGAATACATCAGTTTAGAACCGTCTTGCTTCTATTTCTACATTTTCTGTGCCATGTGTGCATGAAGAAACTGCTTATTAAACTGATCTGTCTGACACAGGACAAAGAAGTTAGCCAGTGACTGGAAACAGGATTCCTCTCTCGCCAAATCGGCCAAATCGTTGAGCCGGAACACAAGTTGGAAAGAAATGAGTGACATTGCTTCATGGACTGTCACCACCAGGAGTGTGAAGAATGCAGATTGAATTATTGGTTATGAATGAATACTTCCAAGCAAAGGGTTCAGTCTCCCAGTGTGACATCCTGCAGATGGCAAACAATGAATTAGGCAGTTGGGAAACAATGCCTTATGGACAGGGAAGTCAAAGTGATAGGGATCATTAATGGCAGATGATCAGCTCAACCTTTAAAAAAGAATTGTCAAAATACAGCTGTAATTTCTCACAAACTTTTTCTAGTACTTCTGATGTCTGTTAGGCAATAATTCTTCTGCTCTTTCTATTCCTATAATTTTGGTGTCCAAAATTGTACCTCAGCTGTACTTGCATCCATCATGCATATTCTGTTTTCACCTGTAGCCTCAGCAGAGACTAAAGCTGTTTCTGAGAACAATGCATGAAACATGCTCTCGTTCTCAAATGTGTAGCATTTGTTCCTGCTCAGTTTTCTCCCATCCAGCAGGATGTCTTAGTCTGATTAAAGCCCTAAAGTAATTGAATGCAAGTGTAGAATAAAAGTTGCTAGTGTGCACTGGCAACAAAGATCCACATAGTTAAAGCAGTGGTCTTCCCCGTAGTAACCTATGGATGTGAGAGCTGGACCATAAGGAAGACTGAGCGATGGAAGATAGATGCTTTTGAACTGTGGTGCTGGATGAAAATTCTGAGAGTGCCTTGGACCGCAAGAAGATCAAAGCAGTCCATACTCCAGGAAATAAAGCCCGACTGCTCACTGGAGGATATTAAAGGCAAAGATGAAGTACTTTGGCCACATAATGAGAAGACAGGAAAGCTTGAGAAGATAATGATGTTGGGGTAAATGGAAGGAAAAAGGAAGAAAAAGTGTAGACCAAGGGCAAGATGGATGGATGGTATCTTTGAAGTGACTGACCTGACTTTGAAAGAACTGGGGGTTTCTTCAAAGCTCCGACAGGGAGCTCTAGCGTGAGCTGGTCCATGAGGTCACAAAGAGTCGGAAGCGACTGAACGAATAAATAACAATAAAAGTGTAGAATGTACTCAGGCAGTAATATACAAGTGCAAGACAACAGTAATAAAATTGGCCATACACATTTGCAGGTTTCACTTTTGCAGATTTCATTATTCACAGATTTTTAAATTATATTCTATATAGGAATCTCTAGGTCATAGAGATTCTTAAGGAAGAACACTTCTCTAGACATTTGTAGTTCCTCTAGCATGATTCTATGGTTACCTTTTGGCAGAAGTTGATCATAGAGTCACATTGCAGGTCTAAGGTGCTTAGATATGTTTATTAAAGTAAAAAAAAACCCACAGTATTTTATTTATTTGTAGATTTTCCACTTTCACAAGGGGGCTATATTCTAACCCCAGCAAATGTGGAGGGATAAATGTACTGTCAAATGCCATACTCCAAAGTCAATTGTAAAGTAACCTGTGGTTACTTGAATGTCAGAATCTGGATTCTTATAAATTTTGGCACTTGATGGCAAGAGAAGCTTGGCCATAATTTTGTTTTTTAATACGAGAAACAAATTTATAGCTCCTGGCTGCAATTGTATATTCCATGTGTGTGTGTGTGTGCATGTGCATGTGTGTGTGCTGTAGGGAAAGAAGCAATCCATAGTGAAATCTCACAAGCCAGAACTGGAATTTGGTTTGGCACTCCAAAGGACCTAATTGCCCTGCCTCTCCCCGGAATACTTTTTTTAAAAACTGGATGCAAGTATACATAATATAAACAATTGACAGGATTCCTTGGCTCAGAACTTTAGTGAGTTTGCTTTAAAATACAGCTCTGAGAGTAAATCGCCTAGGTCCAATAATTGAAAAATTCAGATTTCATTCACAAACTGTATCTATCAGTGTCAACTTTTTTTAAAACTCAGATTATTTTATCACCTTGACAACTGCCCAAAATTTAATATATTTTCAAATATTAGGATGGCAAATGCTTCTCAGATTAGGTGTGTCCTGTTACATTCAATAGAGGCTTTACAATGCTTCCGTGTTTTTTATGTGTTTTTTTTTCTTAGACCTTTGATTTGTCACAATAATTAAAATACGTTGCTCAACAGGGTGTTATTAAAGAATAATCCCTGAAGGGGTGATTAATCACTGCTAGAAAATTGACTTACCTCTGCAAAAAGGTGACTTGATCCTATCTAAAATAGCAGTAAAGGTGATGAGAACCTTGCCATCTCATTATGAACTTCAAGACCTAACAAGAAAGCTATAAAATTCAGATTCCCACACTCCAGTAACCACAGGATGCTTTACAATTGACTCTGGAGTGTGGCACTCTACAGTATTATCGCTGTCATGCATAATATTAAAGTTAGCTGCATGGAGGTGCTGGGATAGTCGCTAATCCCTATGAATGTGATGTTTTATGCTTCCAGTGTTTATGCTTCCAAAGCAGGGATGTGGAAAGTGAGGCCCATAGGCCATATGCTGCCCAAATCCTCCTTTTCAGTTCCCATGGCCCCTTCACCTCTTCAAAATTTAAATACTGGGAGTGAAAAAAATCCTCCAAAATAATTAATTGCTGCTCTTGAAAGTCTCCAAGAATAATGGCTGAGTAAAACCCACAACACTCCCCAATCAAAATTGGAAGTACTCCCAGTCACTTCTGGGCTGAGGTTTTGATTCATTTTCAGTTAATTCTGGAACGCTGTGTGTATCCTATATTGAAAAATAAGGCAAAGTATGGATTTTCAGCACCGAAATAAATGAACTACATTTGCAGAAGTGCAGACAATTATAAAGCTCAGCAACTGCCATTCTGACTGCAGTTGTGCAGATCATAATTGCAAGATGTTCAGTATTGTACCATTTTGAATATCCTTCCAAACGTGAAAGACTCCAATTCTACTGGGGCCGTGTTTCAGTATGAGTTTTGAACAATGCTAGGTGAGGATTACAGTAATTTGAAGAGGCAGGAAGTCATTCCCTTATATCTGCTTCTTTATATTGAAAATATCTATCAAGTTCTGAGCAAGCAGCTGTTCTGCTCATCACATGCCAGCTGTTTTCAAGCTGGCCACCCAAGAACTGACCTTCATATCCACTGGGGTTTATTTTCAGGACCTCATGTGAATAGCAAAATCTGTGGATGCTCCATTCCAATTATATGCAATGGTATAGTAAAATGGTATCCCTTATATAAAATGTCAAAATCAAGGTTTGCTTTTTGGATTATCTTTACTTAATATTTTCAAACTCTTAATGGCTGAAACCACAGACAGAAAGGGCAGAATGTATATTCAAACCCTGGAGTCAGTTATGAGTAGTACATGTGAAAAAAATCTGGGAGTCCTTGTGGACAACAAGTTAAACATGAGCCAACAATGTAATGCGGCAGCAAGAAAAGCCAATGGGATTTTAACCTGCATAAATAGTATAGTGTCTAGATACAGAGAAGTAATGCTACCCCTCTATTCTGCCTTGGTCAGACCACACCTGGAATACTGTGTCTAATTCTGGGCAACGCAATTGAAGGGAGATGTTGACAAGCTGGAATGTGTCCAGAGGAGGATGACTAAGATGATCAAGGGTCTGGAGAACAAGCCCTATGAGGAGCAGCTTAAAGAGCTGGGCATGTTTAGCCTGCAGAAGAGAAGGCTGAGAGGAGATATGATGAGCATGTATAAATATGTGAAGGGAAGTCATAGGGAGGAGGGAGCAAGCTTGTTTTCTGCTACCCTGGAGACTAGGACGTGGAAAAATGGCTTCAAACTTCCACCTGAATATGAGGAAGAACTTCCTAATTATGAGAGTTGTTCAGTGGAACTCTCTGCCCCGGAGTGTGGTGGAGGCTCCTTCTTTGGAGGCTTTTAAGCAGAGGCTGGATGGCAATCTGTTGGGGCTGCTTTGAATGCAATTTTCTTGCTTCTTGGTAGGGGGTTGGACTGGTTGGCCCATGAGGTCTCTTCCAGCTCAATGATTCTATGGTTCTATCACAAAAATTATGGAAATACTATTCCAAGGAGACACACACAAAACAAAAACAAAAAGTCTGAGGTTTGAGCTAGATTTTATTTCAGGTTTGCTTTGTTCCACCATCCTCGCTTGGCAGAGGACAGCAGCATTCATGAGTGTGAAACCAACCAATCAATGCACAACACAACACACAGCAACAAAAATGCTGCCAATGACAACTTACAGATATATGGCCTGTTTAACTTGCACCAAGCCCTTGGGCCCACCTGGTCGAGAGGAAGTGGGCAAAAGCTCCAGCTGGCTGATAGGCAGGAGTACCCTTAGAGTACCCACAGGGCAAAAGAAAAAGCCAACAGGATCTTATGCCAAAGAGAAGAGTCTCCCTGAACTGCACTTCTCGGGTCTTCCTCTGGCCATAGGCTTTGGCAGGGATTTCCTGGACATGTTCTCAAATTATTCCAGCCAAGAATGTCTAAAGCTATTCCATCCCAAGATGCAGGAATGGAGCTTCATTGTTGTTGGAGAATAAGGTGACTAGTCACCTTCCATATACATGACTAAAAGTGATGCTGTTTGCATCAGAAGTGTAATTTTCTTTCTATAAGTAATGTAGGTCCTGGCCTGTGCCTCATCCATTCCTATCTGTCCATTACAGACACAGCTATGGGCAGTGGTGTTTGGACCTGTACTCTCCTTTCATTTCAAAATCAACACCTAATCCTTGAAATGTGCCATGCGGATTGCTCAGCCACTGCTCAGGGCACTCTTCCACTGTAACACAGACTCTGTTGGGGACCATGGAAGCTGGCACTTCATCTATCCAATATCCTCTCCACCTTTGCCACCATAATGCCATACCACCCCTACAGGAGTGGGGTGGAACCCTTCCATGGGAGAGATCTGGGTGCATTAGTCTTCCCCTGGCTGTGAGCTCCTAGGGAGGAACATAACTCCTTGGTTCACCCAGGGGTAAAGGAGCGGCTCATCTATTCTATAGTGAGTCGGGATGTGCATTCATCTCCTTCGGACTAGAACTGCCATCTAAACCGGGATCCAGTCACAGGGTGGATTGTAATCTTGTCAGGAATTCACTGCACTTTCAATCTGCTCGCCGGATAAACCAGATCTCATTACGACGATTAGGGACAGCGGGATTCTGGTATGCAGCCACCACGTAGGTTTCCCGGAGCACGTTATCTGTAGAGCCCAGCAACTCCCAGAGAAGGCGGATCTCCCGTAGGATTGTTTCTTCCGTAGTCGTCCCATAAAACACCCTTTATACAAGGTCAACAACAAAACAACGTCCCTTAAAGATCTAGTGTTGGTAAGAACATCCTAGTTTCCTATGAAATGACCTACTCACTCACCTGTACACACCTTCTGATTTTGACAGGGGGAGGGGAGGAGGACCTCTTAGGAATGACTGCCCCAACAGACAATCATCTTTTCAAGAGGATTTTGCTGACTTCCACATCTCTGCTCTCTTAACTACCATCTTCCCTGTCAGGTATTGCCTTTCTCCTAGCTGGGAAAGAATCAGATCTTCCCGGCTCCACCTACAAGCCTTTGAACCCCAAAATATATCTTTAGTACGCATGAGTCAGGGCCCACCTGGTGATAACGTGAAATGGTGCTCTCTCTTGAATTTGGATTTCTGGGTCAAGGGGAAGAGGGGGGCTGTGTTGAAATTCCTCAGGGAGGTAATAAGCTGTAGTAACTTCTTGGAGCAATTCTGTGCCTTCCTTATTCAGTTGGATTTCATTGATCACTGGAACGGTCATCCCCAAGTGGCGGCCTAGACAGGAAATGCACACAATCAGACTGTAAAATAAGATGGTAGGAAATCCATCTCATGTATTCCCAATCTCAAATTAATCCAGTTGCTGCATATGACTACAACTCTTATAGCAATTGCTTGCACATACATACCTAGGGAGTTCTCCTTGCAGATGTAGCGTATTAATTTCATGAAACCCATAGAGATGGTCTGCTCATACTTGGGTTCTTGTTTGGTGATGCATGCCCATTTCCCAGCTGGGTACAACCGTTCCTCATATGCTAACTCCTCACACTGAGCCAAGAAGAAAGAAGAGACAGTGAAAGCCAGGTCTATCTTTTGGCTTTCGAACAGTGCAGAGTGGAAATGGCAGATTGGAAAAGCTTTGACATTTTAGAAAAAGAAAACGCAATGTCACTTCAATTTCTGCCCTCCGCCTTGTACCAAAAAAGCATCAGTTTCACTGCCAAACATAATTGTATGGTAAATTCAAAAAGCCACATGTCTCAATATCATATTCTCAAATTGGTATTTACCAAGGAAAAAGGAGAACCAAAATGTTTTAATTTTATCAGCCTTTTTAACCAAACCAAACAAAGGCGTTATTGACATAACGTTTGAGACTCTCTTATCTGCATCACCACTGATTACTGGGAAACTACTGCCAGTCTAATACCCTCCATATTTTATCAAAGGGCACATTGCTCTAAATAGCAAATTGTTACATTACAAAAAAACCCCCCAAAAACAACTAAATCTAGAGTTCCTAAATGAAATAGTTATTTGAACTGTTTTCTCAGCTAAAACTAGAGCTATATGTGGCCATTGTACTAACAAACAATGCTCATCTTTTTATTTTCCAAAAATAAATTAAATAAAAATGTAGGACAAGGACCACTTAAGCACAAATATGATCTGTTCTGAAAGCATGAAAGAAAATGTTTCTTACATCTTTTACCCCTTCTTGTTTGTTGTTGCTGTTGTCTTTTGCTTCTATTATATTTTAGGTGACAGTTGCAATTTATTACTCTAGATAGTTTTAATCGTTATTGGCTGAGAGTTCTGCTTCTCAAAAACACTGTTTTGCATTGATATGGGTGGAAAATTGCTCCATCACAAAAAATGTCCATGTGATTGTAATGACTGACAACCCACCCACCCACCCCCAAAAAAACCCCAACAAAAACAGGAAGATATCTCCAACAAAGAGAATCTTTAGAGATTCAATTTGAAAGAATTCATGCAAAGACAGTGGCAAAATTCCTATGAGAGGTTATCTTTATGGCCATTAAGTGAACAGGTTTTTTCATTTTTTGGTATCAGGAGCCACTTGAGAAACTGCAAGTCGCTTCTGGTGTGAGAGAATTGGCAGTCTGCAAAGACGTTGCCCAGGGGACACCTGGATGTGTTATCCTATGGTAGGCATCTCTCATGTCCCTGCATGAGAAGCTGGAGCTAACAGATGGGAGCTCACTACTCTCTCAGATTCAAACTGCTGACCTTTTGGTCAGCAGTCCTGCCGGGGCTCCTAAGTCAACAGGTGACTTGAAGGCACATATACAAGCATAAATGATGGAATAAGAATCAATAAGCAACATTTAAGACTACATTATTAATATATTTCATACCAGTGACCAATGTTCCAATGGCATAGAAATATTATATAAACAAGGAATGACAGAGATAATTTCAATTGCATATCCTCAGCACATTTTTTTCAGTTCCTTTAAAATTTGTTCAGATGGATTTGGATATAAACACATTTTCTTTCTTCTGATTAGACACATAGAGAAAGGCACTGTCAGGTGGAGAACAGATTGGCATAGGATTAATGATATCAACAAATGATGGTGAGGAAGGCAGAATTATTAACTGGATTCTCAAGAAAGAGGAAAAAATACAATGAGGTATCACACAACTTTCCTCAATCTCTTTATTCCTCAGTATACCACAAAAATAGGACCCTGAGGTATTTACGCAGACCTATCTTTGGGAACGATACTCCATACGTCTCAGGAAATGAAAGTCTGTATATATATGACTGCTCACCTTCTCATGCTGTGATAAAGTTGCATAGGGCACAGGCTCACGCGCCTGGTTATTGCGTGTCATTTGCACGATTGGACCTGCCATCTCTATCAAAAAAAGAGGAAATTGGGAAATGTTGAATGTTAAACCTGGAAAACGTCTTCAACTTCCACCAAATTTGTAGAAATCTATACTTTCTAAACTTACAACCTTCGTGAAGATTTTATACTGTATACAGTTTCCATACTGTATAAAGATCTAACGATACAAACCATTTAGCTGGGAATAGTTCTTCTTAAGATAATACAGACACAGAAATGGATGCTAACTTTTTCCCCTACTATCACCTGTATCTTAATGATGGCCTAGCTTAGGTGATCCCTTGTAGCCCGAGGATGATAGTCCTCCAAGTATAGTATCTAAGTGGTGGGTCTGTAGGTGGCTGTGGAGCCCTATTCTTGATCCACATGTTTTCCTGCAGTGAGGACACCGGTTTCCAGATGGAAGGCAGTCCCGGTCAGGGTTGACTTGATGCACCTTCCTCTTAGCACGTTTCTCCCTTTCTCCCTCCATTTGAGCCTCTTTGAATTCTGCAGCACTGCTGGTCACAGCTGACCTCCAGTTAGAGCACTCAAGGACCAGGGCTTCCCAGTTTTCAGTGTCTATGCCTCAGTTTTTAAATCTCTTTTCCTGTACACCAACATTACATTTCCCATTCTTAAATTGGGAGTATAGTAATTGCTTTGGGTCAATGTTGCTAGTTCAGGGGAGTTGATGATGTAGGAGCATCACTTCAATGCTGGTGGTCTTTGCTTCTTCCAACATGCCGACATTTGTCTTCCCAAAAAAACTTCAGGATTTTTCAGAGGCAGCGCTGATGGAATCATTCTAGGAGTTGGATGTGGTGTCTGTAGACAGTCCACGTTTTGCAGGTACATAGCAGGGTTGGGAGGACAACAGCTTTATAAACAAGCACCTTGGTCTCCTACAGATGTCCCGGCCCTCAAACACTCTCTGCTTCATTCGGAAGAATGCTGCAATCGCAGAGCTCAGGCGGTGTTGTATTTCAGTGTCAATGTTGACTTTTGTGGAGCCGTGGCTGCTGAGGTAGCGGAAATGGTCAACATTTTCTCATGTTACACCATTAAGCTGTATTTCTGGCATTGGAGAGGGATTGGTAGGTGACTGCTGGAAGAGCACTTTGGTTTCCTCAATGTTCAATGACAGGCTGAGCTTCTCGTATGCTTCTGCTTCTCCTATCACCTGTATCTTACTGATGGATAGATGATAGAGCCAACTGGGAATCATCTTTTAGGCTAGTGGAAAAACTGCCACCCAAGATCTCAAAGAGTAGAATTGGACAAAGTAATTGCATACAACTTGAAATTGCATTAATGACTTTTTCAAAGCTAATTGCAAGTGCAGGGAGTTTGACCCAGCCCATGAAGTGAGGTATGGGGAGCTTATTCCAGCAGTAGGAACAAAGACATTTGAAATCCACTCTCTCAGACACCATGTTTGCTAATATGGATTAAGACTACAGGAGAGGAAATGGTTAAGCCAACCCATGGGGACTATGTCTCATCTGCCCTACCTTCAATTTATTTCTGAAAAGCCATTTATGAAATTAGTCTTGCCTACTTTGGATGTCAATGTATTTAAATTGAGTTTCTATTGCCTTTTGGAGTGCAAGGAATGTATTATCTTTTCTATTCTTTCTTCAGGGTTCATCTTGTTTTGAGTTTTCCTTAATTCTAAGTTAGCAGCATACCTAGGACACTTATAATCCCATCGGAATGCTGGCTAACTTATTTAAATTTCACTACTGGTATGGTACATGAGAAAGAACAACCATGATAGCCATTTTTATGTATTTTAATCATTTTCTCGGTGTCTACGTCTTAATTATGTTATCAGTATAATTATGTTTATTTGATTATTCATAGTTTGTTTTTCATTTTGATACTAATTTCTCTTTTGTTATAGGTCTATGGTTATTATTTTGTGTTATTTTTAATATGTTTGTATTTGCGTATTTGCGTAGGGCATTGAATGTTTGCCTTCTTTGTGTGGAAACTGCCCTGAGTCCCCTCGGGGAGAGGGGGTGGTCTATAAACAATAATAATAACAATTATTATGATTATGATTATGATTATTATACCTCCAACCTTCTTCCAAGGACTTTCTCTAAAGACTAAGCTCAGAGGACACTTTTCTTTTGGTTTAGAATAGAAACCAGAGTTGTACAATGTTATTTGGCTGGCTTTTATGTCAACTTGAAGCAAGTTTTGCCTTTCCTTTATCTCCCAGAGACAGCCTTGCAGACTACTGAGTGTCAGGTAAGTTGCAAAGCTACTGATATTCCCTTATGGAATCACATTTTAGTACTTTTATTTTTTTTAAAACCCATCAGAATTGATAAAACATGACAACTGTTTCAGGAGAAATCAAAACAAAAGCAGACAGCCCACACAAAGCATGGGAGGGACACTCACAAGCTGGAGGTTGCCCACAGCTGTACAAACCAGAGGGGACAGACCTCACCCTTCAGAGCATAGCTTCTTCTCATTGAAGATGCATCTAGATTCAATTTTATTGGGCCTCACAGCAATGTGAATTCATACCTTGAGGAAGTGACACTTGGTGAGTGCTAGCTACCGTCTCCCAATGGGAAAACAGCCTGTTCTGTTCCTCCCCATCCATTGGCTCATCTTCTTCATCAAGGACCTCATCACTCATTTCATTGAGTTCTTCCAGAGTAATACGAGCCATTATTAAAAGGGCAGCTCCTGTAAAAAAAAGAAAAGGTGACACCACATAACACAACCTGATCAGTTCAGGAGGACAGAACAATTGTTTCGCTTTGCTTTGAGATGCATTGGCCACTTTCCTTGCTCCCTACTATGACATTACCCAGAACCACAGAAGTAGGGGGAAACAGACCCTAACATTCTGAAAACATGAAGATAAGCTATCTTAAAGATTCTTGCTCACTGGAGACCTACAAAGAAGTCTGTTTTATGTCAACCATTCTGAAAGAGTTTATTTTGAGGGGAAAAGCTTACATTTAACTTTAAATATCAATGGGAATGGGAATTTCTATCTTTATCTTTTCAGCTTTAATTTCATTGAACTGTGATGTACACATATGGATTATTTCACTTGGAAACATATGAAGTGTGTGTGTGTGTGTGTGTGTGTGTGTGAGAGAGAGAGAGAGAGAGAGATCATGAAAAATATTTTGTTTGTTGTTTATTCGTTCAGTCGCTTCCAACTCTTTGTGACCTCATGGAGCAGCCCATGCCAGAGCTCCCTGTTTGCTGTGGCCACCCCCAGGTCCTTCAAAGTCAAGCCAGTCACTTCAAGGATACCATCCATCCATTTTGCCCTTGGTCGGCTCCTCTTCCTTTTTCCTTACATTTTTACCAGCATCATTGTCTTCTCCAAGCTTTCCTGTCTTCTCATTAAGTGGCCAAAGTATTTCATTGTTTCCTCCAATATCCTCCCCGCCAGTGAGCAGTCGGGCTTTATTTCCTGGAGTATAGACTGCTTTATTCTTCTTGCGGTCCAAGGCAGTCTTAATATTTTCCTCCAACACCACAATTCAAAAGTGTCTATCTTCCTTCGCTCAGTCTTCCTTATGGTCCAGCTCTCACATCCATAGGTTATTACAATGAACTATGCTTTAACTATGCAGATCTTTGTTGCCAATGTGGTGTCTGTACTCTTCACTATTTTATCAAGATTGGTCATTGCTCTCCTTCCAAGAAGTAAATGCCTTCTGATTTCCTGGCTGCAGTCTGTGTATGCTGTAATCTTTGCGTCTAGAAATACAAAGTCTGTCACTGTCTCCACGTTTTCTCCCTTTATTTGCCAGTTATCAATTAGTCTGGTTGTCATAATCTTGGTTTCTTTGATGTTTAACTGCAACCCAGCTTTTGCACTTACTTCTTTCACCTTGGTTAGAAGGCTCCTTAGCTCCTCCTCGCTTTCAGCCATTAAAGTGGTATCATCTGCATATCTAAGGTTGTTAATGTTTCTTCCAGCAATTTAAACACCAAGCTTTGGACTCATCAAGCTCTGCACATTGCATGATGTGTCCTGCATACAAGTTGAATAGGTCAAGTGAGAGTCTACAGCCTTGCTGTACTCCTTTCCCAATCTTGAACCAGTCGGTTGTTCCTGTAATGCAGATTTCCAGAGCAGCCTACATTTGAAAAACTCAATACATATGGGCAATGGATCATTTTTCATAAATACGGTTATAAGTTTTCTGCAAGTCACAACATTCATAAATCATGTTATCTGTGAATATGTTTAAACACAGATGTAACAGATTTGTTTTTGTTTTAAAGGCGAGGTTTTGCTGGGTAGAATTTCTTAAAAGACATACTGTATCATTCAGTATTTGCCAGCTGCACGATCAGAAGCTGCAACGCTGTCCTTTGAAAAGAGACAAACATTTCTGGTAGATAATATATTAAAGCACATGTTAATCCTGAAGTAATAGCCAAAAATTATCTTTAAAAGAAATCTTTCGAAGTTTTGACTGCAACATGCAATTTTTCATACATTCCACAGGTTTGTAGGTTTTGTTGGTGTTTCCATATACTGTATTGCAGATGTAACAGGGCGAGGTTATTAATTACATGGGAAGCAGGCAGCTTCCACTCAAAACCTTTGCTGCATGTCTTCCTCCTTTCTTTCTGAACTTTAAAAAAAATTCCTTTCAGCATTTATTGAAATATCATCCTGGTTAGTATTCGTGCGAGGTCATGCTGACAAAAAGTTCTCCGTTCAGAACTGTGTAAAAACAAATATCCAGATTTATATTACCTTATATAACCATTTGAAGGTTTATGGACAGTGTCGCACACTGCATCCCTTTGTATCCTGTTACATTCGGATCCCATCCCCATAGCTATGTACCTGCTAATAAATTTGGTTTTGATATTAATTCCCTTAGGCATCTGAAGAAGTGGTTTAAAAGTCAAAAACATTTATGCTACAATAAATTAGCCTTTTATGTTGCTGCTTGACTTCTCCATTCCCCTCTCTCTTTTCTCATGTATATTCTTTTTGAAAAGTGGGAAGGAAGGAATTTCTGCTGAAGAGGGAAGTCAGCAGAGGTTGCAGCCCTCTCCTATAAATCCTGCATATAAATCCTGCATAAGGCGTTTCTTATCTCGTGAGCCAAGAGAACAAAAAAATTACCTAGATAAAGCTTGTTGGCATCTAACATCGCACAATAAGCATATTGGGAATTCATATAAGGAAATCGTTTTAAAATAAATATTGTACAGGTGTTTCCAGATGGGATGATCATACCATTATCAATCAAAAAATATTGTACAAGTAGACCATCTCTCTTTCTGACTGTTTGTGTAAGGGCTGAAATACCCTAAAGGCATGGGATCCTATCTGATCTTGAGAACTAAGCAGGGCCAGCTCTGGGAGGTACTTGGATGAGAGACTACAAATACAGGCAGTCTCCAAGTTACAAACAAGATATGTTCTGTAGGTTTGTTCTTAAGTTGAATTTATTTATAAGCTGGAACAGGTACTTTTAAAAGTGTAATGTTATACACACACACAACCACACATATGAGAGTGGGTCAAAAAGCAATGCCTCCATCACTCTAACTTTTATTTCTTTCACAGCTACTGGACTGTCTATGCATGATATGATAGAGCAGTGGTTCTCAGCCTGGGGTCCCCAGATGTTTTTGGCCTTCAACTCCCAGAAATCTTAACAGCTGGTAAAATGGCTGGGATTTCTGGGAGTTGTAGGCCAAAAACATCTGGGGACCCCAGGTTGAGAACCACTGTGATAGAGGGAACTTTACTCTACTGATATAGCTTTTTCTTTTTCTGATTGAGAAGAACCAAGAATCTGAAGTTAAAAGAAAGAGTCATCATTTAATTTCTGCCAAAAGAAGGTCGTGCAACTAAGGAAATCCATAATTACTTGAAGAACATTTATGACTTGCCCCCACCCCCCTTCTGACTTTTACCTGTTTGGACCTCTGAAAGACAACCTATATGGTTTCAGATTCAGAAACAGCCTTAAAATCATGGGTCATGGAGCAAAACCCTGAATTTTTCCAAAATGGTTTTGATGCCTGGGTTAAAATGATGGTGCAAATGTGTACAAATTGATGGTGATTATGTTGACCAGTAGTTTTTTTGTAAAGGACAGTTCAGGCTATGATCTGTAGCAACTTCTGCTGTTATATGTACATTCATAACATTTCAATGACACAGGAGGCAAAATGTTTTGCTCCACATGTATGTGTGTATGTGTCTATATGTGTGTGGGTGAGAGAGTGTATATGTATGAATGGTTGCATAGGGAAGGGTTAACACCTCTGTAGTACTCATTTTGATGTCTGTGCCTCTGTTCAGAAGATTTCATCTCACTTTCTGACTCTGTGACCACTGGATTTTGAAAAAAAAGGCTTGTTATGGGAACAAGGATTGGTGAGAAAGCTTCAGTGGAGACACTTTTTTTTCCATGACAATAACTATTTCAGAGATTAATTTCCTTCCAAGAGGCAGATTTCCCCCGTCCTGTTGTTTCACCCCCATTCTTAACTATCAGATGTTTGTAAGTCAGATATTTGTAACTCGAGGACTGCCTATACGAGGTGCTGTAGGCTATTTTTCAGAGGTCGGAACTGACTAAACCAGTATTCCTTGTCTAAGAAAAGCCCATGGAATTCATGGGGCTGTCATAGGTTGACTGGTCATTTGAAAGCGGATACACAAAAACAAACAAAAACCATAGAAACAGCAGTGAGGAAGATTCCTCATGGCTACAAATAGAAGACAAAATTTTTGGACCCTGTCGCTCTGCTTCTCGGACACAAATTTGTGTATAAATATGCATAATAATAAAATGTAGGTTTAAGAAGTTTAGATCAAAGAACTACACACTGCAAAACAAAGAATAACTACTTCTAAAATTGGCAGATTAGTTCCAAAACCGATTAAATGCCCAAATCAGAGTTTATTTTTACAGATCTTGTACACTTGTTAGCAGGAGAGAAAAATGCCTTGTGTAGAAAACCAATCCCTCAGCAAAGAGGTGTGAATCACGTGCCTGCCCCACTGCTGTTCTTTTCAACCCTTGGTCCCTTATCCTCAGACCTCCCCCCCTTCCCAATTTCCTTTTCTGGCCAGAACATGTGCCCTGCTTCTTCTGGAAACTGTGGAAGAAAATAAGGATTATTAACAGGAGAACAAACCCTCCCACTGCCGTAAAAATAACTGAACTAGGAGGGAAATGGCATAAAAACCTTGCCTGAAGTTACCTGCAGCAGATCCTTGCAGGAGCAAGCCAGCTTTGAAGAACTGCAGCAGAGTCTGGTGGCTGTGGTTTTGTAGAAAGTGAAGTTGTGGAGCACTGTAAAGAGGCAGCTTGCCTTGGGGTGGCAGTTATATACCCTCCCAAAGTAAGAAAGCAAGAAATGTGACATTTTTCTGGACAAACAGTGCAAGACTGTGAGGACAAGGGCAACAAGACCAAAGGTAAAAAATGGAAACAAAATAGGCAGTGCTGGAAAGTGTGAGACTAGGATACAACTGCAATCCCAGTAATATTGACAACTTGTTTATCAGGCAGGAATTCAATCAGTTTCTCTATAGTGTGACAGGCAGAAATTAAATAGCTGCAGGACTCAATGTTTATATAGACATCCTCAAACTATGGCCCTCCAGAAGTTTGGGCCCCCAACTCCCAGAGGGAGTTGGAGGGCTAAACATCTGGAGGACCACAGTTTGAGGGTGT